CGCATGTATGTTCGTGCTTTAGGATGAGAGAGAGAGTGGGTCTTGTAATTAGTTTTAATTAAAAATAATATTTCAAAAATTGCGAGTGTTGAGTAATTAGAAGGAGGAAACAGCGCGACAATACTATAAAGATATGACCGTGTATACTTTGCAGATTACCTAGATTTTAATTGGAGGAATAAAACGGATTTTTAGTTTAGTTCGTTAAAGTGGAGATTGTAAAATTAATTCTATTGTTTTTTTTTCTTCTTCTTTCGGGCGAGAAAAATTAAGTGTTTGTAACTTTTATACTTTTTTAGGCATTTTTTTTTTCTTTCTTCTATAAAATAAAAATTTTCTGATAAATAATATGAAATCTCTTTGGAAGTGATTTCTGGTATCAAGAATTAATAACAAAAAACTAAGTGGAAATTTATTTACTGTTCATTATCACAACTTTTCTAATGATATCAAATTGAGACAAAAAATGTATCAAAACGTTGCTTCGCAATTATTTTGATTTTGACTTTTCTAAGGATATCAAATTGAGACAAAAAACAAAACGTTGCTTCGCAACTATTTTGATACATTTTTTGTCTCAATTTGATATCCTTAGAAAAGTAAAAATCAAAGTAGTTGTCTCAATTTGAAATCCTTAGAAAAGTTGTGAACCTAATAGTATCAAATTGCAACAAATTGACCCAAAAATTTGGATCGAATCAAAAATTGATCGAAATTTTTTGCATCAATTTGATCCACTACTTCAGTATCAAATTTGATACCTACTTTAAAGAAAACTGTGATTGAAATTAAAAAATATATTCGAGGGACCTAATAGTTAAAGGTTCCCACAAACTTATTTTGTCTTTTTTTTTATTTTCGGTTCGTCTAAGTTTAGTAAAATTGCATCTAGAATTTTTTGTCTTGTCAGTTAATCTTTGTAGTTAAGAGGTCTTTTGTTATATGGAGAAAGGAGCCTTTTTGCTATACAAAAGGGCTTTTCCATGTTGGTAAATACTTTTTTGAAAAAAATGGAATTTTTTTGCATTGAAGAAAATTGTTGCGAGTGCAAAGTTAATCGTATACCCTCGACGGTTAACTACATCTTGGATATAATGATGTTGCTTAATGAATCATAAAGAGCGTAAGAAATTTCCTGTTGTTGAAATTGCGACTTTATATCTATAGAATATTGACCTAGGAAAAAATCGAAGGGAATATCTATATGCGTGTAATATTAAAATGTCAACATATGGAAGCGCAAATACTGCGAGTAGAAAAAATTTAAGCAAATATTCTATATACGGCAGAGTTTCAAAATAAAATTTACTACTTGCTGTATTGACTTCTGTATTGATTATATGAAATAAAGGAAAAAATCGTTAAGTTTATATTATTTTGTCTCGTCATATGTAAGTTGCACTAAAATTGGATTGCAGATTTAATATTATAATTTTTAATGATTCACGTTAATCAGTATTTGTATATTATTAAAAAAGTACTAATTTTAAGTAAAGTCTCGGTTAACTTTTTTCTTGACTCAGAGCCAACTAAACACTTTTTATATGTTTCAAATAAATTATATTTGGTTCAATTAAAAGTTTTTATTTTGCAGTGAAATTCAATTATTTTGAAAGATTTTAATAAAATTCTGCGCCCTTTACTTTTAAAAAATTATAATAAAATGCTTCACAAGAATTCAATTATTTTCAATCCAATAATAATAAAATTCTTCGATGGAATTCAATTATTTTAAATACAATTTTAAAAAATTTTTTTAACAATTCAATTATTTTCAAAATTTTTGATAATATTTTTTATAACAATTAAAATTATTTCTAATCCACTTTGAATAAAATTCTTCGCAAGAATTCAATTATTTTCATGCCGAATAAAATTCTCCGCAAGAATTCAATTATTTTCATCTATAATGAAATATTTGCAGGAATTCAATTATTTTTAAAAAATTTTGATGAAATCCCCTTATAAGAATTCAATTATTTTCGTAGATAAAAAAATTCTTCGTTGGAATTAATTTATTTTAAATACAAATTTTAATAACATCTTTAAAGAATTCAATTATTTTCATATAGATAATAAAATTATTCTTTCAAGAAATTCAATTATTTTGGATACAATTTTAATAAAATTTTTAAAGAATTCAATTATTTTTCAAGTTTTGATAAAATTCCTTATAATTTAATTATTTTTAATGCAATTTAAATTAAATCCTTTTAATACAAATTTAATAAAATTTCACGAAAGAATTCAATTATTTTTAGAATTTTTTATAGAAATTTTAACTGAAATTCAATTATTTTTAGAAATTTTAATAGAAATCTTCACTGAAATTCAATTATTTTTAAAAATTTTCATAAAATTCTTTATAAAAAAGTAATAATTTAAAAAAATTTTCATAAAATTCTTTATGAGAATTCAATTATTTCTTTAAATAATAAAATTCATCGCAGAAAGTCAATTATTTTTTAAAAAATTCTATATAAGAATTGAATTATTTTCAATACAATTTTAATTAAATTTTTCGAAAACGTTTGAAAGAATTTAATTATTTTCATAAATAATGAAAAAAAGTCTTATCAAGAATTCAATTATAATAAATTTTTCGAAAGATTTCAATTTTTTCTTAATTTTAATAAATTCTTCGTAAATAGTTAAAAAATTTTACAAAATTATTTATAAGAATTCAATTATTGACAAAATAATTATTATAATTCAATTTCTTGACAGGATAGAATTATTTTCAAAAATTTTCATAAAATTCTTCAAAAGAATTCAATTATTTTTAGGAATATTAATAAAATAATTCACTGAAATTCTATTGTTTTTAAAAATTTTAATAAAATTCTTCTGAAAAAGACAATTATTTCTTAAAATTTTGATAAAATTCTTTGTATGAAATTTATTTAGATGTATAAACGGGCGATAAACCCTTTACAAAGTATAAAGATGAGGACAAAAACTTGTCGTTTTTAAACATTTTTATAATTATAACCTAATAAATTTAGGTGAAATATGAATTCAATATTATTTTTCAAATATTTTAATAAAAATTGCATATAAGATTTCTTTATAAAAATTCACTTGATATTTCTCAACATCATTTTCATGAAATTTTTCAAAAATAAGTTATGTTTTGAAAATTTTGAAAAATTCAAATTCTGGATAATAATTTAAATATTTTCTTATGAAATTTAAATTAAATTCCGCGAAATTAAATTCAATTATAATTAAAAACTAATTGTAAGTAATAATTAAAGATAAAGAAAATCTAGTTGTTCTTAAAAAATTAATATAGGTAGTATTAACTCCGATTAAGCGAAGGTTAAATAAATATTTAAAAAGTAATTTCTATTTAAACCAAGTAAACTTAATTCAAATCAATCATTTTTGCACTTGAAGTATAAATTAACTGATTTGAGTCAAAATGATTTGACACTCTCTAAATCCGAATTAGTAGTTTTCTACTAAAGAAATAATGCGGATTTGTTTACCATTTTTAATTAGTAACAGTTTTGACTAATTTTTAGTAGTTTTTTTTACTAATTGCTAGAAGAAAACTACTAATTCAATAATTAGTAGAACGTATTTTTTACTATTACAAATTTATAAACGGCTTACTATAATAAATTAGTAGTTTTCTAGTAGCAATTAGTAGAAAACTACTAAAAATTAGTAAAAACTGCCACAGAGAAAAAAGAATTATTAATATAGAACTAACAAATTTTTCTTTTGTTGTTACAAAATTATTTTTCACCTCAATACAGATTTATTGTTATTAGAAAAAATTTGAATTGTTAAGACAATAAGATAAATTTTGTTAGTTCTATATTAACAATCTTTTTTTCAACGTAACAATCCTTTTTCTCCGTGTGTTACTAATTCAAAATGCTCTCTAAATCTGAATTAGTAAAAATGTTTACTAATTTGAATTAGTGACTGACTTTTTGCTTTTGAATTAGTAAAGTTTACTAAATAAATAATAATTTCTACTAATTTATTAGTGAAATTTACTAATTCAGACGCAAAAAATCAGTCACTAGTTTACACGGAGAAAAAAGAATTCACGGAGAAAAGGCATTGTTACGTTGACAAACAGATTGTTAATATAGAACTAACAAATTTATTTTGTTGTCCTAACAATTTAAATTTTTTCTAATAACAATAAATCTGTTGAGGTAACAAAAAATTTTGTAACAAAAAAAAAAAAATTTGTTAGTTCTATATTAACAATTCTTTTTTCTCTGTGTTGTTAAATCTACTAACGGATTCTTAATATAGAACTAGCAAATCAGGTTTGTTGTTGCAACATTTTTTTTTGTTCTCTAAACAAATTAATTGTTATAACAACAATTTCGAGTTGTTAGGAGAACCAAAAAGCTATTTCAACAACAAATTAGAATTACTAGTTCTATATTAACAATCCGCTAGTAGATTTAACAATTCCTTTTGTAAACATTTTAGTAAACATTAGTTTTAGTAAACATTTTTATTAATTCAAATTTAGAGAGTAGTAAACGAATCCGCACTGTTTTTTTTTAGTAGAAAACTACTAATTTAAATTTAGAGATCAACAAATAATTTGATAATAGAAATATACCAAGTAAACCCTTATTTGAATAAAATAAATTTTTCCCTTAATTTAAAGAAATAAAATTTTTTCCCCCTTTTAAATGGTTTCAATATCAAGGAGTATAAAAGATTATTCCCAATATTTTTTTCCCCCCCGCAAAAGTTTATGTTGAAAAGAGGAATGACGACTTTTAAAAGAGTACATACTATCCTCGTAAATCTTTAATTATATAAAAAATAAGCAGTTCGGCCCAAATTGTACTACAAATTTTCTGCACCTTCCACTTTTTTTCCCTCTTCCCTCTGGTTTCTCAAGGGCAAGCTTCTATATACTGAGAGAAAGAAAGAGAGAAAGAGAGAGAAGAGGTGATACAACACTCGTGCACCTGCAGACAAAAGAAATCGTGCATCGTTTTCTCAAACTCACTCACCTGAAAGGAACTTTGTTCCTTGGCGTCGGTAAGGAAGATCGGCGGCGCGTCCTTGGTATGCCAGTGTTCCTGAGCGTAGATAGAGTTCACCTTCATGCCAGCCCTGTTCTTCGGAGGAGTAATGAGAGCCTTGTCCTCACAGCCCTCAACGTGGGCGAGCCTCGCTTCTATGTCGTTCTTGTCATAGTTCAAGGTCTTAACATTACCCGAACCTGCACTACTACAATTAACATTATTCGAAATACAATAAACACTGCTTAAAGTTTTTTCACACCTCGAATTATTGTTACAACTACCAGCACTACCACCACTATTGCAGAAACTCGGTAGTCTACCATCGGGGAGAGTGAAAATTGGCTCAATGCCCAGCATCGATTTTTCATCAATCATCGATCGATTGCTGTCCTCGTAATATCTCTCATTAGGCACATCGACCGGCACTTCTATTGTCGAGGTGGAAAAGTTTGTCCTATTCTTACAGTGCTTACAGTCCTTCTTGCGACGTCTTCGCCCCTGATGATGTCGTTGGTCACCATGCACTTCCGGTATGGGTCCCGAAGAATAACGATAATTCTCCTCAATCGAACCATCATTGGGAAAAGAACTCCCCGCTCTTATCCGTTCCCTACTTGTCACCCTCACCGACGAACTTATCACATTCTCAAAACTGTCCTTCAAGGGATTATTCCGTCTTAGTGGAAGTGTTAGATTCCGATGAAACGAATTTAGTGATTCTTGATCAATTTCCGAATTCGAATAGTAATTTGGCAAACGATTTGATGTTTGCAAAAAGAATTCTTTTTGCTCCTCATCAGGACGTACAGGTGCAGAACGATGAAATGGCGATGAAGAATTTGAAGTGATGTCCTCGTAGATGTGCGAGTCGGGATTTGACGAGGAATCCATGCCAAGAAATAATTCTTGGGAACGGATGATGAACTTTGTTAGGGGCGCTCGAGGCGTCTCGTGAAACTTGCACGATGGATCATCCTCGTAGTAGGCAACGTTCTCCATCTGTAATCAAAAACATGGCTAGTTTTAATCATTGGTGATTCATCGAATGCGATGAATATTATCGAGGTTTATTAACTGACGCTGGTGGTGGTGGTGGTGTATAAGAATGCATATACTATATAGGATGTGAGAAGAGAGGCTCTGAATTTTATTGATCTTATCGAATTGACGGCTGATGTCGTGGTTGGAATATCTATCAGGGAAGACGCGTGTGGAATATGTCTCGGATAATCATTTCTGTTGTTCAACAAATTCCAAAGTGCGGATAAGGATTGAGAAAAAAAAATTTCTTTTCTTATCGATCGTGAATCTTAGCAGTGGGAAAATTGTTACTCTGATTTTAGAGAATATTAATCGTGAGCATATGAAGGGGAAGAAAAGAAAAGTGAGTTGTTTGAAACATAACATTTGTTGTTGAAGACAACAAATGTTATGTTTCAAAGAACTCCCTTTTCTTTTTTTTTAAAAAAGTTGTTGTCTTCAACAACAAATGTTATGTTTCAAATAACTGCCTTTTCTTTTTTTAGAAAAGTTGTTGTCTTCAACAACAAATGTTATATGTTTCAAAGAACTCCCTTTTCTTTTTTTAGAAAAGTTGTCTTCGACAATAGAAAAGTTGTTGTCTTCAACAACAAATGTTATGTTTCAAAGAACTCCCTTTTCTTTTTTTAGAAAAGTTGTCTTCAACAATAGAAAAGTTGTTGTCTGCAACAACAAATGTTACGTTTCAAAGAACTCCCTTTTTTTCTTTCTCTCTAAATTTGAATTAGTAAAAATGTTTACTACTTTGAATTATAGTGATTGACATTTTTCTTTTGAATGAGTAAAGTTCATTAATAAATTAGTAGAAATTACTATTTATTTAGTAAACTTTACTAATTCAAAAGCAAAAATTCAGTCACTAATTTATTGAAATCAGTAAACATTTTTACTAATTAAGATTTAGAGAGTTCATTTTATTTAATTAGAGAATACTTATTAGAGGAATTATTTTTTTTGCTATAAAGAAATAATTACTGCAAATAAAAAGTTCTTTGAGCCAAAATTTTTTGTTGAAGACAACAAATGTTGTTTCAAAGTAACAACACTTGTTGTTAAAGACAACAAATGTTTTTTCAAAGAACTCCCTTTTTCTTTCTCATGCTTTTATTTTGTTTTCAAGTAGATAAAAATTCATTTGTGAATAATTTCTAAATTTTTAATTTTTGGGGAATTCAGGTAGGAATTCAATTATTTTCAAAAATAATTATATGTATTCATGAAAAAATTCAATTACTTTCATAAATAATCAAATTTTCCTCAGGAATTCAATTATTTTTTAAATTTTGATACAATTTTTTATAAGAATTCAATTATTTTTTTATACAATTTTAATGAAATTTCCAGAACGAATTCAATTATTTTCAATGTAATTTTAATTCAATTATTTCCACAAGCAATAAAATGTTTCACAAAAATTCAAAAATTTAAACAAAATCGAAAAAAAATTCTATCCAAGAATTCAATTATTTTCAAAAGCAATAAAATTCTTAATGAAAATTCAATTATTTAAAATAAAAATAAACTTCCAAGAAAGAATTCAATTTCAATCTAACCCTTCGAAAAAATTCAATTATCTTTTTAAATTATGAAGTTCTTCGCAGGAATTTAATTATTTTTAATACATTTTTAATAAAATTTCTAAAACGATTTCAATTATTTTCAACAATTTTTAAAAAATTCTTTCTAAGAATTAAATTATTCCTAATGTAATTTTTATTCAATTCTTCAAAAGAATTATTTCCATAAACAATAAAAGTCTTTGCCGGAAATCAATTATAATAAAATTTCTCGAAAAACTTCAATTTTTTTAAATTAATAAATTCTTTGCAAAAATTCAATTATTTTCAAAATTAATAAAATTCTTAATAAGAATTCAAGGAAAAATTTGCAATTATTTTTAATATATTTTTCAATAAATCCCACGAAAAATGGAATTTTTAAAAAAATTTTTTTAAATTCTTCGCAAAAATTCAATTATTTTTATAAATAATCAAATTTTCTCAGCAATTCAATTATTTTTGAAAATTATGATACAATTCTTTGCAAGAATCCAATTATTATCACAAGCAATAAAATTTTTCACAAAAATTTCAATAATTTAAAAAAAATGAAAAAAATTCTTCCGAAATTCAATAATTACTTTCAAAAGCAATAAAATTCTTAATGAAAATTCAATTATTTAAAAAAATTGAATAAAATTTTTCGCAAGAATTCAATTATTCTCATAAAAAATAAAATGCTGCTAAGGAATTCAATTATTTAAAAATATTTCAATAAAATTCTTCGCAAAAATTCAATTATTTTCATCAATAATCAAATTTTTCTCAGGTGTTCAATTATTTTTTAAAATTTTGATAACATTCTTTAAAAGAATTGAATTTTCCAGAAATATTAAATTATTTAATAAATTATGTATTTTTATATTTTAATAATTAAATTCTCGTAGAAATTTAGAAAATAATTAAATTTCAGAGGCGTTTAGAAAAAAAAATTAAATTTCAAATGATTTTCCAAAATTTGTCAAAAATTCTTTAAAATTTAATTCAAATGAATTAAATATTCTTTTGGATTGTAATATTTTTAAAAATTTCTGGTCTCTGAAATGAAAAATTTGTAAATATTTTTAAAATATTCTAATTGATCATTAATTTACTTAAAAACTAATTATTTATTTATAAAAACCAATATTTTTTAATGAAATTCAAATTAAAAGAAGCTATAAAAATATCATCATTCTTTTGAATATTTGATCGTTATAAAAACTTGAGGGACATTTAATGAAATAATTCTTTCTGATTAGAGGATTATACGAAAAATATTTTTTATCCAAAGAAGATTTTTTCAAGGACTTTTTTATAATTTTTTTTTTAATTTTTATAATTTTTTTTAACTATATATAGTTTAAGAAAATTTTCTCTATAGTTAAAGAAGATATTTTCTTTAAATAAGCAAACATTTCTTTCTGGATTTTTAAAAATTTAAAAAAAGGCTAGACTCATCAGTGTCTATGAAATGGGCAAAAATAAATATATTTTATTTTTGCCTTAATTATAAATTATTTGGGAAAAAATTTTCTTTTATTATATTTTTGAAAGCATTACGAACATCAACCAACAAGAAGAAAAGAATACTTCGTTAATAGAAAATTTTTATCCAAAATGATTAAAACGAATATATATAAATTTAAATTTCTGACAAGTGACCTTTTCAATTTCTCTCAATAATAATTTCTTCACAATTTAAAAAAACATTTTTTCTTGAATCACAAATACGTAATCACTTCTTCAAATTGACTCACTAGATTTTTTACATCCTGGTGTTATTTTTTCTCTCTACTATTATAAACATAAATTTTCTACACACTTGATTTTTTTTATTTCTTTCTATGAAATTTTATTCTATTGAAATATTCCGCAATTAGTTAATTCTTCATTATTCCTCGCAATAAATGATGAGCATATAAAAATAATGAATTCACAAAAACCGGTAATGTCCAACGATCTCCGATCATCAATCATCGTTAAACAACTCAATAAATAGATAAAATATTAAAAGTCCTTCCTTATGTGACCCAAAAGACATATACCCATATTACATATTAAAATAAGGAAAAAAGAAACGAGAATTAAACTCTCATAAATATACTCGTTTTACAAAAGGACAAAAAATGAAAAAAGAAAAAAGAAAAAATAAAATCTTGAAATTGAAAAGTGAAAGGTATCAATTTCTTTTCGAAATTGATCCTTGTAAATGACCGCGTGTGTCGTTGTCAGGTGTCATCGTCAATGACCGCGCTAATCACATTGAACTAATACACACACGCAGTGAAATTCTCCTTTTCTTTGGTGTCAATCAGAAAATCAGAAATTTTTTATCAATACATTTAATCTCGAAATATAACTATATAAGCTTTTATATCTATTTCTCAACATCAAATATGTGCAGCGAGACTCATTACCAGAATATAATTAAAGTATCTTCAGTTCAATCTGTGATAATTATACACTAAATGATGTTATCTGATTACCGTCCATTAGGAAAAATCCGTTAATTTGTTACAGTTAGTGTACATTTATTTCTCTTGAAAAAAAGAGCGCATATAATTTCTCTACTTGTTTTGTGTCTTTATTTCTAATTTCTATATAGAAAATGAAATTTTAATTTTCGTAAATAACTTTCGTTTGCATATATTTATTTTTCATCCTCCGTTAGAGTTGAATTCTATTTTTTTTTCTTTTTTTGAATGATTAATATTATACTCGAGTATAGAAATTTTGCCAAAACCAAACAGCGGCAAATTCTACTCAAAGGTATTTTATTTCAAGATATAGGGGTTCTCTGATCAGCATCGTGGCATAAATTAAAGACGGGTCACAGTGTGTTATAAAAATAAATTGAAATGTAGAAAAAAATGAATTTGGATAATTTTTTTTACAAACGGCTTGTTATTTTTAATAGCAAAAATTTTATTAATTTTTTTTTCAAGTGAGGAAACAAAAATTGTTTTCAAGTATAGATAAACATTCATTTGTGAATAATTTCTAAATTTTTACTAATTTTGGGAATTCAGGTAAGAATTCAATTATTTTCGCAAATTATTAAATTCATGCAAAAATTCAATTATTTTCACACAAAATGAAAATTTTTACAAACAATTAAATTCATGCAAAAATTCAATTATTTTCACAAAAAATAAAAATTTTCACAAGAATTCAATTATTTTTAATTCTTTTAAACAATAACTAAATTTTCACGAGAATTCAAGTATTTAAAATACAATTTTCATTGAAGTATTTCTAAAAAATCAATTATTTAAAACATTTTAATAAAATTCTTTGCAAGAATTCAATTATTCTCAGAAGCAATAAAATTTTTCACCATATTTCAATAATTTAAAAAAAATTTAGAAAAGTTTTTCGCAAAAATTCAATTATTTCCATAAAAAATAAAATTCTTTT